CCCCAAAACCCCAAAACCCCAAAACCCCAAAACCCCAGAATGTTACATCTTTGTTGAATCGATTGAATATAAAGTCCATTAGCGATAGTTTTCTCTGGAGAGACTTCTCATACCATTCCCATTATTGTTCACAGACTCTTGCCATTGACGTCTAAGCATCTGGAAGTTCCCCTCTTCATTTTTAGAGTTCTGAGATGGCAAATTTTCCTTCTGATCCTGACCTCCTATGAAAGATCTTGATTGCCAATTGCTCCTCTGGTTGTTCAGATTGTTGTTCTGTGGTTCATCCTGATTGAATAAGTAGCCTAGAGAAGACTGGTTCCTCATAGAGTACGGATAAGTATCTGACTCCTGGTTACTCTGGTTGTTCCTCGAAGTCAAAGGAGCTTCCTTTATATTCAAGTCATTTAGATCTAAAGCTGGTTTCTTCTCAGTTTCAGTAGGCGTAAAATTCATCTGAGGTTGGTTGTTATCAATCTTCTCAGTATTGTAATTCTCGTTGAGCATTCTTAGAGTATTATCTTTATTAGCTTTGAAAACTTCAAGAGTGTCTAGGGAAGGTGTTCTGTTAAGAGATGTTTCATTCTTTTTAACAATCTCTCTTTGAGTATCAAACAAAGACTTTGTTCTTTGACATTCCTTCATAAGCTCCTCAATTCTCTCATCTTTACTATCAACGTTATTTGAAAGATATAAGTTTTGTTTTTCAAGGGCGAATGATTTCTCTTTAAGCAACTCAATTTCCTTTTTCATATCCTGGTTTTCAGTTTTTAAGTACTTAATGGACTCATTAAGATGATAGATCTGTCTCTTGTCCTGCTCACTTTGGCTTATCAGATGTCTTATAGTGATGTTATCCTGGCAGATCTTTGATTTCATCTGGCTTAAAGAATCTTCCAGCTCTTTCTTCCTGTATGCTTCCAATGTAAGTTCCTTCCTGAGGGAATCTTCAATATTGACCATATTCACTATATCAGTTTGTAAATTTTGAATTTCAGACTTTAAACTATAGTTTTCTTCATCTAATTTGCGGATTGACTCTGATTGGTGACATATCCTAGCTTTCCCTTGCTCAATTTTATTCTTAAGTTCAGTCTCAGACTGTGAATATCTAGCATTGGTTGTATTAATATTCTTCAGCTCTAGCTGTAAGTCAATATTCTGGTTCTCAACTCTCTCAATATTCAACTTAAGCTGAGCATTTTCTTGGTCTTTTTCCTCTAGGATGCTCTCAAGCTCTTGAGTCCTTTGCATATACTTAGTGATTTTCTGGTTAAGGACCATCTTTTCCTGGTTCATCTAGAGAGTAAAATCATTCGAAGGTACATTTAGCTGCATTTCATGCATATTCTTTTCCATTTTCTCATACTTCTGGAGCTCACCTATAGTTTCATAAAAATGGTGTACATCTGCTGATGATGAGACGCTTCATTTCTTCACTCATTTTCTGTATGATCTCTTCATAAATCTTCAGCTTTGAGCTGTGGTCCTCCATTGGCTGCTGCACGAATTGTTGTGATCTGTCAAGGTTTTGAAGGTTTAGGTCTGAAATTAGGCTAGAAGGTTACCTTCAAAATTGTTCTGGTTCAACTGGGTGTAAGACCTATGGTGAGTATTCGGCACATTCATCTTAGGAGTATTAGGTGAGAAGGATCTACTCCTGTGACTTCAGCTTTGAGGGAATGAAGCAGGATTATTGGGACTATTCTTGATCTCTCGATCTATTTCGGAGATATTTAGTGGGCTATATGAGTGATAATTTGGAGCTGGGCTGTGGGTTTGACTGTTATTCTGTATTTTATCGAGAGGGATTAGAGGGTAAGTGTTTTGCTTTATATCTCCTTTCTGTTGTTGGTTAGATAACTCAGACTCTCTCAACTGTTGTCTAAAAGTTGGACTGTCTTTCATCTGTTCATTATCTCCATCAGTGAATAAAATATTTTGCAACTCAGAGACTTCTGCGAGATCTTTTTCTTTTGTAGTATATCGAAGAATATCTTCATCTTCAGTAATTTCATACTCTTTGCTTTCCTCATCTGAGTTTTGACTAAGCTCATCTCTCATATCATTTCCAATATGATTATATCATAAATCCTTAGAGTCATTAATAATAACTGTCTCAATTTCCTGCGGCTCTTCTTGATCACTTTCTTCATCCTCTGACTGATTTTTCTCTTCTTCGTCTATCTCATCTTGAACGAGGTCTGTTTTGATAAAATCATTATCTCCTTTTGTGAAGAACTGGTGAGACTTGGCCTGGGCTCCTTCTTCAGAGTCCATAATGAAGTTATTCAACTCATTTTGCTTTCGCATCCACTTCCTAATTTCTTTATTTAATATTTCTTCCGCCTGATTTTACTCTAAAGGTTTGGCTTAAACAATACCTTCTGGATTTAGTCTGGTTTGGCTTGTCTAGGTTTCTCTGACTCTTCGAGGAAATTGAGTCCTGGCCAAGGGTGTAGACGCTATCCTTCTCTCCACTCATCATAAGGACATTCTCTACGTCATTTGACTTTTGAGTTAGTCTCAACCTATCATTCTTCATAGACGATTCTTCCCTCGAACTATTCGTTTTCTCAGGAGTCGGAGAGACAAAATAGACTGGATAATTGTCTAAAGAGTTCTATTTAGATACTTACTGGTATTCCTCTGCTGAGGAGTTGCATTCTGGCTCACACTGAACCGATCCTCATGTTGATGTGGGTCGTAAGTGTGGAATTTATTAAAATCTGCAACCATCATAGGCTGAGATTCAGCAGTAGCGTTTTGGAAACATTCGAACAAGTTCCTAGAAACAGCATCTTTATGGTGTTCAGTTTTTCTAGAAACAGGCATCGGTTTAGAAGAAGTTTCAACACCATTGAATTTATTATAATATTCAGTGTCGTGACTATTAAGATTTAAGATAGATAAATTACTCTGTAATTATTTCCATTGTCTTTCTAGGAACATCATTTTCTTTCCTCCCCTTGTTCTTCTTTCTTTTCTGTATTTTCTCTCTTCTTTGTAGAAGCACTGGTTTCATCTCTTATTTAATTTATTATTCAAAATTTAAAAATAACGTTGGGGTTTTGGGGTTTTGGGGTTTTGGGGTTTTGGGG